AGTTCAAAGACCCAATGCGGGGACTTGACTGAGTCAGACTGACGCTGTATCTGGGTATAAGTTTGCTTCACATGCTCCTGTTATGTGTGAGGGAACAAGTGAGCTTTGAATAGAGTCCTCAGATTCTACCAGCCCCTATTTATAAGCGAACTCCTGACTGCATTCCCTTGGCCTCATTCCCCTGGCCATACACAGTTCTTTGAGTTATTCAGCTGCTGGGCCAATTTCTATTGATCCTGTTGACATGCACTTTGCTCTGTTCTGCATTCCGCTTACAAGTAAGCAAAAATTGGACAGATAGACTTGTTCGAAAGTTATTCCGAACTAATTTAAAACAGTTAACACCTAAGGCCATTAAGCAGCTTTAAGATGTCACAAGGGAATGGTTTGTGACACTAAACAATTATTCTGTCACCATAAAGATTGCATTGCCGTCCCAGTAGAATGTAAAATCCACAAATGATACATGTCAGAGTGTCAATGTGATATATTTTAATGCGCTGGAGTTTTTCCCTCCAAATATACTTGTTGGGCAACTAAAATGAGGTATCGATCTCCGTTCTTGTTCATCGCTTGTGCCCTGGGACTTTTAATTTGACTTTAGTTTATTAGTATTTACACTGTTCAATTACATAGAGCTATTATGCAAACCTTACTGAGATATTATTGCCACATCTGTCGAAGGACTGCTCTGAACTCATTTACTTTTTAGTGCGTAAACGCAGTAGGAATGCAAAAGAGAAAGGCACTGTTTAAATCTTCCATTTCAAGCTGTTCACAACCACATTGCATTGAAAAACAATACACAACAATACACATTTACACAACATCTTTCACGTCAGGAGGCCATCCTAAAGCATATTTACAGAGCTGCAATGGCCCATGAGCTGGGAGTGGGAGCCAGGTTGGGAGTGCAAAGGTGACCGAAAGCACTTGAAAAAGGGTGGGAAGGGAGTGAGTTGGAGGGAGTAATGACAATAATCGTTGCGCTTAATACAGCAGCTTATCACGTCATCGAAACATCTCAAAGTGCTTCAAAGGATTTTACTGCAAAGTGACTGGGTATTTTGTAGGTGAACACGGCAGATGATTTGCCTACAGCTAAGTCCTGTAGACAGTCATGAAGTGAGTGATCAATTTTTCTCTGGGGGATTGTCGCTCAGGACACCTGGAGAGAAACTCCCTTCTCTTTTCGAATAATGTCACAGGATCTTTGACGTCCGCCTGAACAGGGATAGACAGGACCTCGGTTTAACAACTCAACCAAAGGCCTGCACCTCTGATATTGCAGCAGTCCCCCCAGCACTGCATTGGAGTAAATCATGTGAAGTGTTTTGAGACATCTCGATGATATGATGAGGTGCTTTATTAAATGCAGGGAATATTATTATTATTACTATTATTATTATTATATATGTCAGATAACACAGTTGACAAAATTAAAATCCAGCAACGATGGGTGATGAGAACATTTGCTGTTTGTCAGGTCGATGTTGTTCAAATGTTGCGAGAAATTCAATTATCGATTGAGAAAAAAGATAATGTAAATAAAGGCAATAGGTACAAATAGGTTTCATTTTGACAGGGAATGAAATTATCTGCTGGAACAGATTCAGGATTACAAATCAGGAGCGAGCGAGCGAGTGGGTGTGCAGAATACTACCTTTAGGCTGAGCTGAACTGACTGAATGCAAACAAGGTGCATAAGAAGCCTGAAGGCAATTTTGAACAATAACATTCACTTAAATCGTTCACTAAATCTCCCCCACTCCCCCCGCCCGAGAAAAGTATTCATTTCAATCCGACTTGGGTATCTTGCCACCTCTGTATTTCTGCATAACACAGTATCAAAACACTGGATTAGATTAAGTCAGCCTGACAGCTACACGTATAGTCTTTAGGAGTCACACTGAGTTGTCTTATAAAGTGGAGCAAGTTGCAAGATGATTTTATACGATTTTCCATCAATGAAAGGATCATAAACAAGCAGCTAATTTATTCTTCTGGTTCTATGTTTCTACGTAAATGTTCGAATCAATTTCAATGCAACCCACAGGAAAGGTAGCAGCTAATTTTGCTGGCAGAAACAACAACAACTTGCATTTATATAGACCCCCTCAAACTGGGTAGTGTCCCAGAGCGCTTAAACAACTTGTGTGAAAGTGCTTCACACTAATCACTAGGTGAGTGGTGGGGTGGGAACTGAGGAGGATGGAGAGGAGGTGGGGGGGAAGTGACTGAGAGTATGGGTGAAAAGATGGAAGACCAGGTTTAAAGGTAGAGAGGGAGTGAGGTTGGGGTGCGGGGACTCTGGTGGTGGTGGGATGGAGTTCCATAGATAGTAGGCGCAGAATGGTTGAACGTTCAGCCTCCGTCAGTGGGGAGGGTTGGATGGTGGACAAGTAGCAGGCTGGGCTGCTGGTTGCTGAGTGGAGAGAGCGGCCAGGTCAGAAGGGTTGTAGGCAGTCACAGAGGTAAGGTGTGCATGGGGTGAGGAGGTGAGGGTGTGGAGGGATTTGAACATGGAGGGATCTGAGAATCATGAATTTGATCTTCTGGGGAATGGGGAGCCAATGGAGTTGAGCAAGGATGGTTGAACGTTCAATATAAATGATTTGGACTTGGCTATAGGGAGTACAATTTCCTTCTGTGTTGTGTAATTCTATGATTCTAAGCATATTTAAGAACCTGCATTCTGAAAACTATCCACTGCAGATACAAAATAATAATCCTTGCGTTTGATTTGGTGCCTTTCAGGTCAGGATGAAGTCTCAAAACGCTTCACAGATTTACTGGAAAGTACAAAGACGGTGGATTTTGTAGGCAAAATTTGCCTTGGCTCAGGCTAACCTGCACCTAATAGCATTATCTGAGCAGTTCCTCCAGCGAGACAATGAGCGTTCCATTCCAGCCACTAAAATGTCCATATGCGGATTGTTATTGAATCACTTAATATGGTTTGGATACTCGTAAACATGCTTTTCCACAAGTGTCAGACACCCGGCTGATCAAAAAAGATTTGCGCAACAAACAACGACAACAACTTGCACTTATTTAGAACCCTCCGCACAGGGTAGCGTCTCAGAGCGCTTAACGGTACCGGACTTCACCTGGAGGGAGTGGGGAGGTGGCCGTAAACACGGTCAAAGAGGAAAGTCTTCAGGTGGGACTTGAAACAGGGGAGAGAGGGGGCAAGGCAGAGGGGTTGAGGGAGAGTGTTCTAGAGTTTGGGGGCGTAGTGGCTGAAGGACCGACCTCCGATGGTAGGGTGGCGGATGTGAGGGACAAACAGGAGGCTGGTGCCAGTCGAACGGAGGTGCTGGGTGGTGGATTGGGGAGTGAGGAGGTTGGAGAGGTAGGGAGGTGCCAGGGAGTGAATGGATTTGAACACGAGTGTGAGGATCTTGAAGTCGATCTGTTCGGTGATGGGGAGCCAGTGGAGCCTGGGTCAGAACTGGTGAGATGCGGGTATGGAGTTTGTCTGGGTCAGTATGCGATTCATTTCTTGGCTGTTTGTGGGACATTGCTGTGATGTCCCACAAACAGCCATGAAGTCAATTGTCGATTTTGTTTGGGGGATTGTTGGACAGGACACCAGGAGAAACTCCCTTCTCTTTCCAAATAGCACCTTGGAATCTTTCATGGCCACCTGAACAGGCAGTCAGTCATTCACTGACCGGATTTCCTTTAAGACAACTTAAAATGAAAAAAAAATTGGAGGGAGGGGGAATTCACTTAGAGATAGCACCAAATTTGAGCACAACATTATCAAAACTCATATTTGGCTCGCCGAAAGGACTTTTGCACATTGTTCTCATGTGATCTGAAACTCAGCGCCAATCTCACCATCTAGTGAAGTACACAGTGTGTGTGATTGATCTTACAGCATTTATTATTAATGGGATAGCATTCTATTATTCAGGGGAATGATTTCTATATAAGAAAGTTAACATCAACAAGATGTATCAAGGTTTTTAATATTACAGCAGAAGCAGGAACATCATGTGGTAAGTTCAGCATTCACTTAACCATTTCTGCTGAATAAACAGAATTTAAAATGTGTGTACACAGACCTACTGTAACTAAGTTCTCTGCAATCATTAACCCTTCTCTCCCAATGCCTTTGCACAATGTGACTCAAACATGCAACACGAGTTCTGGGTTGGGTGAGGGAGCTTTTCACACCAAACTAGGATGCGCTGCATTGTCGGAAGTGCTGTCCTCTGGATGAGACGTTTAAACCAAGGTCCTATCTGCCCATTCAGGTAGATGTTAAATATCCCCATTTAACATCTTTGAATTTGAAAAGAGAAGGGAGTTTTTCTTTCTCCCAGGGTCCTGGTTGACAATCTCTCAAATAAAATTGGTCATTCGTATCATTGCTGTTTGCAGGGCATTGCTTTGTGCAAACTTGCTGTCTTGTCTGCCCACAAAATACACAGTCCCTGCACTTTACAGTAAAATTCTGTGAGGCTCTTTGAGACATCTCAACGACGTGATAATGCGCAATAATCAAATGCCAGGATTATTATTGAATCACTGCGGAAAACACAAACTGCATTCAATCTCAGTATAATCATGCTGTACGGGTGCAAATTGGGTAAAAAGATTCATTTTTAAAACGACTTTCACCAATTTTTATGGATGTTCACCAACCCTAACCACAACAATGATGATTGCCATTTGCACTGTTCTCCTCAGTTAGTTCCAAAAAAACCCAGTAATTTCACCTTCTCACTCCACCTTACCAGGCGGTTTGTTTGAGATCCTGAGCTCCCCACGTGACAAAAACAACAACAAATTACATTTATCCAGCATCTTTTACATCAGGAGGACATCCCAAGGTGCTGGACAGTCAGAGATCCTCTCCTGAGCTGGTGGTTGGGATCAGGGGGCTGGGAGAACGGGAAGGGTAGGGGGGTGACCGAAGGCACGGTCGAAGAGGAGGGTCTTGAAACGGGTCTTGAAGGATTGCAGAAGTGACAACACGAGACCCTCACCTGCACACTTGGTCCTGGTGGTCAGTGGGGGGCCGGGGGGTCCTGTGCCTCCGTCTCCAGGTCGCGTCAGCAACACCCGGATTTCATACTCCACATCCGGGTCGAGGTGCCACAGCTTGTAGTTGTGGGAGTCCACAATGTGAGTTTCCGCCCAGTTGCCTGCGGTAGTCCGGTATTCCACCTCCTTCAGGATGATGGGTCCGTCGCCGATGATGGAATTTGCATTGGGCTTGATCCACAGGTACGTAGCCCCGACCGCCAGGAGCTCGGGTGGGGCAATGGGGGTCGGGGGTTCTGTAACACAACAACAAGGAATCAATTAAAAACAAACGCTCGCATTTCATACAGTCACGTCGGCAAGGCGTCTCAAAGTGCTTTGCAGGATTTTCACAGAGGTCTGTGTATTGTCCCAAGTGTCCAGCGCCTTGGGACGTCCCCCCAATGTGAAAGGCGCCATACAAATGTAATTTTCATGTGGTCTGTGTATTTGTTTCGTGGTGAGTTTCGGTGAGTTTGGTACAACAATGTCCCACAAATATCCGCGGGATCTTTAATGTCCACCTGAACGGGGCCTAGATAGGATCTCGGTTTATCATCTCATCTGAAGGATGGCACCTCTGACAATGCAGCGCTCCCCTCCAACCCCAGCACTGCACTGGAGCACCAGCCTGGAGTTTGCAGATTATTGATGCAATGGAAAAGTGGAGTCAGTTTCATCTGGGTGTTTATCCAGAATAATAACCCTCAGTGTGGCAGGTCTAACACCAGCCTCTCTTTCTGCGAACTTCAAATGCAAATAATGAAACTTGCTAAATGTGGGTTTGGTTGGAGGGGGATTTTCCATTTGATAAGAACTCAATGAATTGAAAGGCTGATTGTGTGTGAGACTCATTTGCTTCTCTTTCAGCCTTTTTCATAAACATCAGCAGATGCACAACAGAGGAACAATCACTCGACAGCTGAATGACTGTCTATTTATCAGAACAACTTTGTGTGACATTAATTATGGCTTTCATTGCTTTTTGTTGCTTATGCTAACATATGTCCAGTTATTCATCTGCCTATTGTCACTGCAACATATCCCTCAACTGCGATGTTTGAGAGCAAATTATTATTTGTTTCCTCCCAGCTTGTTTTGTCTCCTGTTTTGCTTGCAATTTATTCCCCACCGTTTGTAAATGTGATGACAGATCCTGTTCACATTTGATTTCAGTACATAACATTTATTTTTGTCCCTTTTTTTTGTCAGATGGTTTTCCACACATCTCATGCAAATCTGAGTACCATTTACGTGGCCTTCGCTGAAAATATTTCAAAGCCAAACCTAATGGAGAAGCTATTTCTGCTGGTCAGTGAGTCTGAAACGAAAGGGCTTGCATTGAAGATTAGGGGCAGAACGCACGGGTAGAAATTCCACCTGGATCTAGATTTACTCTATTAATGTGCCATTTGACAGGGTTTGGAATTTGACCCAATTGCTGCATTACGTTTCGACTCTGAAACACATTTTCTGCAGTGCTTAAAATAAACTTTTCCCCATGCTCCTTGTTTCAAGCAGTCGCTACCCTTGGCAATAATTAATATGCATCAATCACCCTTGCATCGAAGTCAGAAGGTTGTGGGTTCAAGCCCCAAATCGGAATTCACACAGTCCAGGGGCTACATTTTTGGAGGTGCCATCCTCCAAAGAGTTAAACCGAGGTCGCTACACTTTACACTGTATTGTGTGAAGCATTAATATGATGTTGGGTTGAGTGGTGAAGTTTGGGAGTTCACAGCCCTGTGACTAAGCAACCTTGAGGAGACTGATTCAGGAGCATTTTGATCTGAACTGATTCCCGTCACCACTCCCTACCGGTCTCCTGCCTTACCAGCCGGTGCTCGCCAGTCATCAGAGATGTTGGTAAACTGACAACAAGTAGATAGAGCTTCACAATCCCCAATGCGAGAGTTCAGGAAGGTTCGATTTCATAGGGATGTTAGATTGGGCAGTCTGCTTTGTCGCAAGTGGCAATCAAAGCTAAAACCATAACACACTCAGAAGCGAGTTGGATTAGTAGAAGTGTTATAAAAAGGATCTAGCTATGAGCACGGAATTGGATTTGAAGTGGAGGAGCTAACCCAGCACACCGCCTTCTGTGCTGTCATTTCCATCAGGAAACATCAACTCCCAATTTCCAAGCGCCAACAGCCGAGTAAATGCGCAAAATCGCAAATTGGGGTCTTATTTCTTTCAATAGAGCAGCCCTCGATCAACAGATTGAGGGGAGGGCAGGAGAAACTGGTCTACTCACTGCTGATTACATTGCTCTGCTGTTACTGTCTCCAGGGATGTCCCCAAGTTAAACGCACACCAGTCTGTCGTGAAATCACTCCTCTTCCCCCTTCCCAATAAAATAGCCACAAAGGTTATTCTCCATTGTCTGAATCTACCCACCCAACACCAATTCAATTGCCGCTTAGTTCTGTCTTCGGGGATGTTGAGATATCTAATGATACATAAAACAGCTTCTATCTTGTACTGAACAGTAGAACCAAAGGCCACAGCCTGAGATTGAAAGGGGGGTATATTCAGAACAAATCTGCGGAAACACAATTTCACTGAGCGAGTGGTAAACTTATGGAACAGGCTCCTTAGGGAGACAGAGGGAGCAGAAAATGTCATTTGTTTCAAGAACAAATTAGATATAACAAAATTACATTTGTATAGCGGCTTTCATGTCTGGAGGACATCCCAAGGTGCTGGACAATCAATGTTTTGGACCTGAGCTGGGAGTCGGGATCAGGGAGGGTGGAGGGCAGGGGAGAAGAAGGGTGTCCGAAGGTGCGGTCGAAGAAGAGTCTTGAGATGGGTCTTAAAGGAGGCAAGGGAGGGGGCGAGGTGGAGGGACTGTGGTATGGAGTTCCAGAGGGTGGGGCCAGAGTGGCTAATGGCCTGCCCGCCAATAGTGGGGCAGGTTGGTAGGGGGTTAGGAAGTCACAGAGATAGGGGCGAGCAACAACAATAACAAAATTACATTTATAGAGCACCTTTCACGTCGGGAGGACATCCCAAGGCACTGGACAGTCAGCAGTCAGGACCCAAGCATGGGGGAAGGGTGGGGTAGGGGTGAAGGCAGAGAGGCGGGAGGGTGACTGAAGGCACGATTGTAGAGGAGGGTCTTGAGACTGGCCTTGAAGGAGGTAAGGGAGGAAGCGAGGTGAAGGGACTGTGGGATGGAATTCCAGAGTGTGGGGGCAAAGAGTTTGAAAGCCCATCCGCAGATGGTAGGGCGGGTCAGGCAGGAGACATGGAGCAGGCTGGAGCCCACTGAACGGAGGGACCGGGCAGATTGGTAGCAGGTCAGAAAGATAGGAGGGGGCAAGGCCATGGATGGCCTTGAAAGTGAGGACGAGAATCCTGAATTCGATCATCTAAGGGATGGGGAGCCAGTGGAGTCGGGCGAGGGTGGGAGTGATGGGGTCACGGAGCCTGGTGGGGTAGAGGACATGGGCTGCAGAGTTCTAAATAATCTGCAGGTTATGAAGGGAGGAGCTGGGGAGTGTACGAGAGTCTCAGCAGCCTGATGTGTGAGACAGTGGCGGAGCTGAGCGATGTTGCGGAGGTGGGGAAAGACAGAGCGGGTCATGACACAGATGCGGGTTATGAAGGACGGTCGAGGGTTGAACAGGCCGCCAAGGTTCCGTATTGGCTCCGTGAGATGTAGTGTGGCGAGAGATGCTGTCAGCGCCCGAGGTATGGAGGCGCTGATGGAAGCCAAGCAGGATGGCTTTGGTCTTTTGTCTTCAACTGCAGGAAGTTTGCGCTTATCCAGGACAGGAAGTCTGTGAGACAGTCTGTGAGAACAGCAGCGGTTCTGGAATCAAGGATCGAGGCAGAGAGGTAGTCATCCGCATACACGTGGAAGTTGATAGATTTCTGCTAGAAAATAATATCTCAGGATACAGTACATAGTTTGGGACACAACGTGTCAAGCAACTACCAGGATGGTGGAAGGCGAACTAGATGGATCTTGGTCTTCTCTCGCCAGCAAATTCTTATGTTGTTATGTTCTTATGAAACAGGAGTAGGCCTTTCAGCCCCTTGAGCCTGTTCTGCTATTCTATAAAGTCATGGCTGATCTGCACTTCAAGTTCAATTACCACTCTTGCCCCAAATCCCCTAATACTTTGACCTGACAAACATTTACTAAAGCTCTCATCCATTTCAAATGATGCATGTTAGCGGGGAACTAAAGCGTTGAAGAGGACGGAGAAGCAGGTGTGCGACTCACAATGTGATTTCGGATATACCGCTTTTCACGTCGGGAGGACGTCCCAAAGTGCTTCACAGAAAAAGTGACTACTACTATACTATATAAACGTGCATTTGTACTGTAAAGACTAAATAATAAAATCTTGAAATGCAAGAGACGTACGTGTACATGGTTTATATACATCTTCCACGAGGCCATTCAAACATTCAGGGTTTTGAGAAAGATAAATTATGTTCATGTACAAGTTTCAAAATGGATAATGACAGAAACAGATTTTATACTAAAGCCATTGTTAGGGAATATAAATTATTGGTGAAGGTTATCAGGGAGCTAATGTTTGTAGTGTTTTTTTTAAAGAAAGTTGACTAATAATGTGAGATTTATTCCAAGCAATCTGTGCAGAGCTTTCCTGGCTCTCTCTCTTTCTCCCCTCTCCCTCCCCCTCCCTCTGCAAATCATTCAAATCCCTATCAAGCTGAGACCATCAACGGAAGAATTCACATAGCATTTTAATTTTTCCATGCTGTGCACAGCAGTGAGAGTGATGGGAACTGTGCCTTTCAACAGTGTTTCGGATTAAGCAAATGTCTCTGGCAAAATCATATTTTATTGATGATCAGTTTCGTAACGCAAGTCAGTCCCATCTGTGAGCCAGATACCGCACTCCAAAATAACCTGTTTTTTTTTGTTCTTGTTAGCACAAACACACAAGTACACTCCCTCGCACTCATAATAACATTGCCTCAGAATTGCATCTAGGTGTAAATAAGCCTCAAGAGGAAATCTACGTTGCAGCAATTGCTTTGCCGCCTTTGTTAATCCCTCCACGTTGGAATAGCACACAGGATTTAACACTTTGCTGATAAAGCGGTAATAATAATAATAAGCCTTGCCTTTGATATAGCGTTTTTCACGTTTTCTAGACATCTCAAAGCACTTCACAGAATATACTGTAAAGTGAATTGACTATATACTTGTGGGCGAAACTCGGTAGCCAATTGTGCACAGCAGTGTCTCACAAACAGCCGTGGATTGAAG